ATTTCCTTCTCCAGGGGATCTTCCTGACCCAGGGATTGAACCCGGGTCTCCCGCACTGCAGGCAGACTCTTTACCATCTGAGTCACCAGGAAAGCCCATGTTGTCTACCTAAAGACTATTTTCTGTCTTTCAAAAAACACATTCAACAGTAGCTGCTGTTGAAACATTCTCTTCTCTTTTTGACATCACATTGGCTGCTCCATACAGCTTGTGGGATTTCAGTTCCCCAAGCAGGAGCTGAACCCAGGCCCTCGGCAACGAGAGCACAGCGTCCTAACCGTGGGCCTGCTGGGCACTTTCCCCTGACATCACATTTTCCTGAAATCTTTTTCTGCTCCTTCTCATTCTGCCTTGTTGACATCACCTCCTCCATGTCCACCCTATAAATGTGGTGGTTCAAGCCTGGGCCTGAGTCTCTCTGTTTCTCTTTCTTTCTCTCCTCTCTCCTTAGGAGATTTTACTGTTTTTTTTTTTTTTAAGTGTCAGATTCACACCTCTGACTGCCAGCCTGACATATTCATGTGCTTCTTCATATCTCAAATTCAGTTTGTCCAAAAAGGAGCATGGTTATGTCCCTCACTAATTAAAGATACTATTGGCCACTTATACATCTCTGTCTCATGTTTCTTACTTGCAGAACCCTAATTTTATTTTAATGAACAATTTTTAGAGCAACTTCAGGTTCACAGAAAGATTGGAAGAGATGGGGGATTCCATCCATTTTACTCAACATAGGGTCTCCAGCACCTAGCCAATGTGTTCCACAGAGGAGGCACTCAGTAACAGGTTCTGGATGAGAAGAGTGATAAGCTTTTCTTTTTCTTATTTTTAATAGTTATGTCTATTGATCTTAAACTGGCATTCATCAAGATTAGTTTTTTTAAAAGAAAGGGTGACATAGTGGAAAGGCAGAGAAATGGAAAGCAACCAGAGTAAGAGAAAAGGGAAAGGGTGGAAAAGCCATTTAATAATTTGTCACCCTATGAATCTAACTACCTCATTTTTAGAATGTTTGATCTAGAAATCATAAATGAAGGTCAATATACAAGTTTGACCATTTTTATTCCATTTGACTGGGAAAACAATCTACTTTAATTCAGTAGAGATGGCTATGGGTCCAGTGACCATATCCACTTGTATGTGTTCATCAAGCATTTGCTCATAATGAGAAAGAGGTCACGGGATTACTATTCATCCTTGAGACAGGTTTTTAATATCTGTCTTGTGCTCTGGGAGTTGGTGATGGACAGGGAAGCCTGGCGTGCTGCTGTCCATGGGGTCACAAAGAGTCAGACACTGAACTTATTGCCATGAGAAAAGTACTTTATTAATCTTTCAGAAATACATTAGATTGAATCAATTATAGATCTTCCATTAAGATAATTAGATTTTTTTCATATTTGCACTATATAGACTGCAATAAACATAAACCAAACATTTTGAGTAAACCTTTAAATTACAGAGTCACTTAGATTCATTAGGCAGGTGAAGTTCTTTAAAGGCAGGGAGAAAAAGAAGAATTTTAAAAACATTTAATCAATGACTAAATAGTTTTTGGTTGTGACAATAAACTTTCAAAGCAAGTACTTGGTTGAGAAATTCATTTATCATCTGACTTTTTGACGGATTCTAAGAGACATTGTAAAATTCTCTTTGGGAATATAAAAAATGCTGTAGTGTCAGCATGCCAATTCATTTTTTTTCAATGTCTGTTGTTACATACTTTGTCAAAATATGATACTGTCATTCATCAGATCACTTTCTATAGCAGTCCAGGTTTCAGATCTCCCTGTTTGGATTACCTTTTCTTTTCTGGAAGTCCCTTAAGGCCAAATTCAAGTCTGAGATACAGTGATTTATGCTAAGAAATATAATACACATTAGGTCTTTGTCCATTTCTGGCACAAAGCTCCTAAAACTCTTGGAATCTCTCAGTTGTGAGAGCAATAAAAAAGGGTCGTTTGTTAATGAGATGACTTTGGAGGGGGTTGAGGGTGGAGAGCAGCTTGGGATAGAGATTGGAGCAGGTTGCCTGGAGAAACTCCAGTCTCCCATCTAAGTACTAACCACCCAACCCTGCTTAGCTTCCAAGATCAGATGAGATAGGGCATGTTCAAGGTGGTATAACCGTAGATGAAACTTCAGTCTCATATCCACCATCCTTGCCTGAGACTGAGTCACTAGCCAATGGCCAGAGATTTAATCCATCATGACTATGTAATGAAACCTCTATTAAAAATGTAAAATGATGGGGTGCATGGCGATTCAGAGCTTCCAGGTTGGTGAAGTCTAGGAGATTTGGGGAGCGTGGCATGTTCAGAGAACATGGAGGCTTCATAACTCTTATCCCATCCATGTCCTATGCATCTCTTCCATCTGTCCCTGAACTATATCCTCTTATAATAAACTGATAATCTAGTAAGTAAAGTATTTGTCTGAGTTCTGTGGGTTGCTCTAGCAAATTAATTGAACCCAAGGAGGAGGTGGTTGAACCTCTGAGTCATAGGTGAGGGCCTGGACTTGGCGGCTGGCATCTTAAGGGGGTAGGAGTAGTCTTGTGTGGCTGAGCCTTTAACCTGTGGGATCTGACTCTATCTCCAGGTAGATAGTGTTAGAACTGATTCAGTTGTAGGACACCCTGCTGGTGATAGGGGGGAAAACCCTATACCCTGGAACTGGGTGCGGAGTTGGTGATCAGAAGTTGGATCAGAGTCAGAATTTCACCAGGGTCTCAAAACCTCTCATAGTGGCCCCACCGCACCCCTTCTGCCCTGAATTGCTATGTACTCTAAAGTTAGCACTGACTTTGGCTTGTTCTGTCTTGCTGCGATGCTCTAGCCAGTCTTTTGTGTTTCTGTGAGTCAACATTCCTTTTCTCTGGGACCACCCCCACCTCTCTGCCGCTAGGGAGGGTTATACAGGTATATTTGTTCTATCTGATTCTTTCCACAACCACACTGATTTGATCGTAAGTATTCAACACTGGAGTCACGCTCAGCCAATCATACTTTCTGTTTAGGAAATTTAAAATTTGGATCAAGAGCAGCTAGTCCTTCCTGTGGGAGTCCTTGAAAATGACTTCTGCAATCAGAAGTTGTCTTTTTATAGGCAGCCACTGCAAGGTATCCCATCTGGAGAGAGGTAAGAATGAAGCGACCACACAGTGGGGAGTAGAGATGAGGGCAGAATAGCTGATGCGGAACCTGGGGGTTTTTATTCCTTGATTGCACACACTTATGAGGGGCCAGGTCTCTATTCCTTTCCTGGGTTCAACAAAGCCCCCTTATATTCTGATAACATACACCCTTGTGTTGATTTGGCTGGTTTGACGGATATACTTATGCACTGCAGAAACTTGGATAAGTTATATGCTTCTCATCTCAACAGTGCCTGCATATTTTAGGAGTTGAAAATATTTGTGGAAAGATCAGGAATGATAACTTTTATCTCTCTTCTTAGTGAGAACACCCCCAGGCTCACAAATAACTACATTTCAAATCAAATTTAATTCTGCAAGTTCTACTTTTTTTTAAAGTAATATAAGAAAAATAATAATCTAGGACTTTGCTTTCAGACAGTATTAAACCTAATGTGAATATTTTCAATTTAAAATTGATAGCTCCAAGACTTCCTGGCTGGGTGACTTCGGACAAGTCACTTAATTATTTTAAGCCTCTTTTTTTTTTTTTTTTAAATACCTAAAATGGGGCTGATGACAGCACTGCCATGAGGGGCTGTTGAGAAAATTAATTTGGAGACTGTGTTGTGCCTAGCACGTAGTTGGCATGTCTGTTAGAATTGATGGTTGCAAGTGAGAGAAAACTCTGATAGTTGGCTAAACAACAGAAAACAATCCTGCTATATGTAGCTGAAAAGACCAGAGTTATGACAGCCTTCAGATGAGGTTTTACTCACTGACGATATGGTTTCTCCATTCTGCTCTTCTCAATGTTAGCCTCATCCCTAAATTCTGCCCTGTGCTCTCTCGGCAGATCTGGGTTCTCCCTGCGTGGTGGCAAATTGGATGCAACAGTCCCAGCTGTCACAGCCTTATGCCTTAGCTCAGGAGAGAGGTGTCTGTTTTCAAATGGGCCATTTCATTCTCACTGGATTTCCTTATTACCCCAGTCAACATAGGGAGGAGAATGGGATGGGATTAACTGATGAATTGCCCCAAACCAGCACCCATTTCTTCTGTAGGGATTGTAGGAAGGATAGGTCCCCAAAAGTGAAGGGGATAGATTTGATACAGATGTCTTCTTCAACCCAATAAATTCAGCAAACGTACTTTCAGAAGAATTTAAAAAGCCTATACAATAGACTATACTATCTTCCCCAATATTTTATTACATATGAGCTCTCACAGTTGTATAACTTTCATTAGTTTGTACCTCAATGTAGTTGTTTAGAAATGGGTACTAAGCAATATTCTTAATTGAAAGGTTGAGCTGAACAACTTATTATTTGGCCTTTTAAAAAAATTTCATTAGGTTTTTACTTTTCAGATCTTCTAAGGAAATGGGACTTTAGCAATATTTTAATTCAAAAAAATAACTCTTCATCTTAATGTGATGGATCCTAATGTCTTTGTTCCCTGTAAAATTTTCCTGTTCAATTATTCCTTTAAGAGCTTTGTTCTCCCATGATCCTTACTTTTTGTTACCACATCTTTTCAGAGATGAGCTTATGGATACAATTGAACCTCTTGGCATCTGGTAGAAGCAGAGAATCACATCTGGGAAGCTATTTATTAATCCTCACTTTTAAATACGTTCTAATGCAGTTTAAGAATTCAGTTTAATAGTATACATTACATTGGCTTAAACCACTATTTTTAGATTAGCAATTTCTACAAATTTGTTATTCTAATCTTCCTGACAACAATTCCTTAATTATCCCCATTCCTCTGTCCCCATTTTATTCTCTCATTTTATTATTTCTGATAATCGCTACTTAAAATTTTTAAACTTGTAACCTACAGAAATAGTTACATTTTATATATGTTAAAACCATATACAGGCTTCCCTGGTGGCTCAGATGGTCAAGAATCCGCCTGCAAAGTGGGAGACCTGGCTTACATTGCTGGGTCGGGAAGACCCCCTGGAGGAAGGCATGGCAACCCACTCCAGTATTCTTGCCTGGAGAATCCCATGGACAGAGCAGCCTGGTGGGCTACAGTCCATGGGGGTCACAAAGAGTTGGACATGACTGAGCGATTAAGCACAGTACAATATACTTTACATTATGACCCAGCATATACACATACACACATATATAAAACAAGTTTTACAAAACAACACTTACCTGTACAATTCAACTGGATGTTGTCAGTTCTGTTTTGTTCTATTCCACTCAACTTTATTTTCTATTCCACTCAACTTTATTATATAAGTTGCTCCTTTATAACCCTGTAATTTGACCTCATGATCCACTGATGTGTCTCAATAATATAACTTGAAAATTATTGCTAAAGTGGTACTTACATACTAGGAGTTTTTAGCCCCAGGGTTTTATGATTGAACTAAAAAGGGTTTTGTCTTTGCTAAAGCAAAATAGCAAATATTTCTGTTTCCACTTAAAAGGACATTATACAAAATAAAATGATTGTTAAAACATTTCCCTTAACTACACAGTTGAAAGCCCATTGGAGCACATCTAGTGGCAGTACATGGCAGTGAATAAAACCAGATAAATATTATCCTGATTCAGCTGTTCAGTGGTTTATGACCCGACAGAGCAATTCTGGATGCCTTGATGTTTTGACTGTTATGCAACTTAATTTCTGCAAATCTGCATCATAAGATGTATAATTTATATTCAGCTGATAAAAATTTTTATATGATGCATAATTATCTCTAATACATTAGAAACCAATTTATAAGTGAAAATAAATTGTTAAATTATATCATTTACTTTTTATTTACTGGGAGTAACCTATTCTCAGGAGCAATGAATTATTTTTGAGAAGTGCCTATGTGTAGTAGTGTAAAAATTCCTCTTTGGAATTGTCATTGAGAAACAATAAAAAGTATCAGACTGAACCAAGTGATATTTTAAACCACAAAAATATAAGAACTGCAGATATCAGATCACAGTTTTGACCCATTTTTGATGCTATAACACTAAAATCTCACAGTATTAGTGTACATTCTATATACTGAGACCAAACAGAAGGTACTTATCAACAGATTTTCTGTTACTTATATATTTATTTCCTGTTCACTGGATTATATTTTTTTAGATTCTACATATATATCATATAGCATTTGTCTTTCTCTGTCTGGCTTATTTCACTTAGCAAAATACCATCCAAGTCCATCCATGTTGTTACCAATGACAAAACTTCATTCTTTTTTGTGGCTGAGCAATATTCCATTGTACATGTGTGGACACACATATACTACATCTTTATCCATTCAGCTATTGATGGACATTTAGGTTGCTTCCATATCTTGGCAACTGTAAATAAAGCTGCTATGAATGTTGGGGTGTTTCTATCTTTTTGAATTAGTGTTTTTTTTTTTTCCACATATATACCCAGGAGTGGAATTACTGGGTCATTTATAGTTCTGTTTTTGGTTTTTTGAGAAAATTCCATGCTGTTTTCCACAGTGGCTGGGCTATTCCTACCAACAGAGTGCAAGGGTTTCCTTTTCTCCACATCCCTGCCACCATTTGTTACTTCACAAGAAATGTAGCAGCGGAGACAGGGTTACAGAATTAAGAAAATTCAATCATACATGAACAAATTGTGTAACCTGGATTTTATTTTTTAATTAAGCTGGGCAGTTTAGCTGATTCCTCATTCTCCCCTGTTACAGTATAGTTTTCAAAAGGTTAGACGTTTATGACCCTATGGCAAGTATAATGTGAACCCATGTCAAAAATTTCATTTAACTCATTAATTAATAAGGAGACCAATAAGATACTAAAGCTGGTCTAAAGAACATTTGAGAATCCACAAACACCCACATACACAAAGCAATATAAGGATAAGATTTTTCAGTTAGATACAAAATTGTTACCTTTGGGGTTATCTCTTCCACCAAAAGAAATTATTTACATCTCTACTAGACAAAAATCTACAAGAAATCTTTGATCCGATAAAGCTGTAAAATAGCCCAGAGAAAAGAAAACCAACCCCAGTTTTGCACTGAAAGAACACTTTACAATTTCTTTTGCCTATTTTCAAGTTCTGAATAATTTTTCTGACATATATTAATATTTTTAATGTTGTACTGTCCATAATCCTCTGTACTCACTCCCTTTGTGATTTTAGTCGGTCTTGCAGTTATAAACTATATAAACATTTTGATGACGTCCATATATCAGAAACTCCTTATCCTCCCCACTGCCACCACCTTTTTCATCATTAGGTATGCCAGGGCAGGAGTGAGCTTCAGGGAGATAACTTTCCCAAGTAAAGCAGAGCTCTGATTTGTTCAAGGGAAAAGGAATAGCTCTCTAAATCTGAATAGACAAACTGCCTCTCCAGAAAACCTATTCTCCTGAAAAGTTCAGTAATTTATTGAGGAGGACATTATTTCTTTGATTTATATAATTATAAATTAGCTACATAGCTATATAATAACTATGTAGCTAATCCTAATATTCCCCAAGAATGTAAAACCCAACTTCCTCTATTGAAGTATGTTGTGGATATTTTGTTTTTTAGATACGAGTATTCAGAATTTTTTATTTTTGTTGTGCTGGGTCTCCGTTGCTGTGCACGGGCTTTCTCTAGCTCTGGCGAGCAGAGGCTACTTCGTCCTGGGGGTACAGGGCTTCTCGTTGCTTCTTTTGCTGTGGAGCGCAGGCTCTCAGAGCATGAGCTTCAGTACTTGTGGTGCAGGGGCCATCAGCTGTAGCTCACGGGCCCTGGAGTGTGCAGGCTTCAGTAATTGTGGTGCACGTGCTTAGCTGCTCCGTGGCATGTGGAATCTTCCAGGACCAGGGATCAAACCTGTGTTCCCTGCACTGGAAGGCAAATTCTTATCCACTGTACCACCAGAGAAATCTGTGAATATTCTTTTATTTTTTTCAGTCTTTTAATTTTTTTCTGTTTGCTTACACAAGTGATAATAGTCACTGTTCAAAATAATTGATTTTTCTGATGCACATGTCATTCTTCAGGGAACCTGAAATGTACTGATGCTTTAGCTATGTGTGTATGTATGTGCGTGTGTAGAAAGGTTCTGTGATAGCTTGCTAGGGCTACCATAGCAAAATACCACAGACTGGCTGGCTTAAACAACAGATACTAATTTTCTCACAATCCTAGAACCCAGAAGTCTGAGTTGAGATGTCAGCAGTGCTGTTTTCTCTCTGGTGGTCTCTCCCCTGGGTGTGTAGATGGCCCTCTTCTCTCTGTCTTCACACGGTCTTCCCTTTATTCCCATCTGGGTCCTATTTTCTTCTTCTTAAGCAGGTCAGTCACGTTAGATCATGGCCCACCCATTTGACTTCATTTTACCTTAATTCCCTCTTAAAAGAACCTATTTCCAAATACAGTCATATTCTGAGGTGCTGGGGGTTAGAACTTCAACACATGAATTTTGAAGGGAGATCGTTCTTGCCACACTTTCACTTCATTAGTGGCACAAGTGTCATGTTCACTTAGAAAACGGGCAAGTGCCAAATAGTGATCTGAGTCACCACCTTGTGTGTGAAAAACTCCAAAATAATGGAATTCAGGGCCCAGCCTGGGGCACCCCTTACCTTCGTTCGCCCTTGTCTGAGGCATCTACCAGTGCCAGCCCAGCAAACGAGTACAGTACCTAGGTTCGCATCTTTCTCTCGACTCAACACAGATGAAAAGATTGAAAAACAGATTAAAAAGTTGCATCAGTAACAAGTCCTGTCCTTTGTAAGTGGTAGTGGAAAAGAAGACAGCACTCTGTACTTGCTAAGACTGACTATTGTGTTTTGTTTTCACATTAATTGTAGATACCAATTTTCTATACAAAATAATTCAGTAAATAGTGCACATAAAATCAAGAGACTTTTCAATTTGTGAAAGTAGTCTTTTTCTCTGTTGTTAAGTGGAAAATCTAGAAGAGTTCTATAGCTGGAGACAATAGGCTAAATCAAAAAAGAAGAAAATAGTTATGATTTTTAAAACCACTAATTGAAGCTTTAAGTGTCTTCCAGTGTTCTGGTGATTTGGGGCTAAAATCCGCTCTGTTCCTTACTTTCCTTTGTCAGTGGTGTTTACCATGGCAACTTCAATAAAACTCCCCTCACAAATGTTTTTCTTCTAAAGTGCAAAGCACCTTTTTAAAGAAGGTTGACAACCTGGTAGGAATGGGTGTTTGGAAAAGAAATCAAATGAAAAGTATTCTGCTTTTCTTCATGATTGCTGGAGGTGGCAGGAGGTGAGGGCATTTTTAAGGGTATAAAGCTGTGTGAAAAATATATTTTACCTTGTTTTGGAATAAAAATTGTTTTTTGAGGTAGAAAATTAGTTTAAAACATGGTAGAGAAACTTGTCCCTTTCATAACATTTCCTTGTTTCTCATCTTAGTATTTGGACTAGCTTTGTACACACAAATTCATGAGCCACTTTGCAATGTGGATTTTGTGTGGACAAATTTATCCAATACCTGATCCGTGGCATTGCAGGAGACCCAGGTTCGATCCCTGGGTGGGGAAGATTCCCAGGAGAAGGGAGTGGCTGCCCACTCCAGTATTCTTTCCTGAAGAATTCCATGGACAGAAGAACCTGGTGACCTACATTCCATGGGTCACAAAGAGTCGAACACAGCCGAGTGACTAACACCTTCACTTTTTCACTTGATTCAGTGTAAGCTCTTTGGGTCCTGATGGATTTTCTTGGGACTACTTTGGGAAACTTGACTAATGTGGGATTCTGAGCACACCATTAAGTCTCCCAGGGTTCTTTCCAGTCCCTTCCCATAAAATATGGAGGCAGTAGAAGACTAGGAGTTCTCAGCCTTAGAATCACATTATAGAAACAAATGGAGATGTTTCAAAACTGCCAGTGCTAGGGTCTTACCCAGAGATTATCATTTAAGATCTAGGTGACACTTAGATGTCAGTTTTGTTTTAAACAGATTTTTCTTTCCAATTTATTTTTTTGGTTGCACTGGGTCTTCATTGCTGGGAGTGTTTTTTCTAGTTGCAATGAGTGGGGGCTACTCTTTGTTGCAATGCACAGTCTTCTCATTGCAGTGGCTTCTTTCGTGGCAGAGCACATGGGTTTCAGTAGTTGTAGCATGTGGGCTCAATAGTTGTGGTACACAAGCTTAGTTGCTCTGTGGCATGTGGAATCTTCCAGTACTAGGAATAGAACCTGTGTCCCCTGCATTGGCAGGCAGATTCTTATCCACTGTACCATCAAGGAAGTTCTTTTCAAGTACCCATTGCAGTTTTCATGTTTATAGCTAGAGTTAAG